GTAATTAATATATCTTAACATTAATTATATGTATATAATATATATATATATATATTATATAATAATATATATATATATATATATGTGTGTTGTGTGTAATGTGTGTGTGTTGTGTGTGTGTGTGTGTGTGTGTGTGTGTGTGTGTGTGGTGCGTGTGGTGGGTTGTGTGTGTGTGTATTTTGCGTGTATTGTTTGGTGTGTGTGTGTGTGTGTGTGTCGGTGTGTGGTGTGTGTGTGTGTGTAGTGGTGTGTGGTGGTTGTGTGTGTGTGATGTGTTGTTGTGTGTGTGTGTGTGTTGTGTGGGGTGTGTGCTGTGTGGTTGTGTGGGGTGTGTGTGATGGTGTGTGTGTGTGTGTTGTGTGATGTGTGTGTGTGTGTGGGTGATGTGTGTGTGTGTGGTGGGTGTTGTGTTTGTATTAAATATGTATATATACACCTATATTTACATTATATACATATATATATATATATTATGATATCATATATATATACTGTATACATATATAATAAAATCTATCTATCTATCATATATATATATATATATATATTATAATATAGATATATTATACTATATATATATATAATATTAATATATATAACATGAACATAAAAATATATATGTATATTATAATAATATATATTATTATTTATATATATATATATATATTATATATATATATATATAATATAATATATATATAATATAATAATATATACATATATGTATACATAAAAAAATATATTGTTAATATATAATAATATATAATTTATATATAATATTATATAATAATATATTATATAATATATATATATATATACTTTATTATATATATATACTATTTATAGTATATATATATTAAATAAATACTATATATATATTATATATATATACCAATATATTATATATATAAAATATATAGTATATATATTATATATAATAATAATTATATATATATATTATATATATTATATAATCAAACAAACACACACAGATGTGTTACATATACATAAAAAAAAAAAAAAAAAAAAAAAAAAAAAATATATAATATATATATTTATATATATACATATTATATATATATATATTATATTATATATATATACTATATAATATATGTATGATATTATATAATATATACATAATAAATATATATATACATAATATACATCTATGACATGTAATGCACAATGT